TCTATCGTGTCGAACCGCAACGGATGCATAGGTCTCCTCGTGGTCTCCGTGGGACATGTTGCATCGGATGACGTTCATGCCTGCCTTCATGAGCTCCACGAGAACCTCAAGACTTTCCCCAAAGGGCACGCGACGCAGGCTAGACCATGGTCTGCACAACTGCAATTCACCTGTGGCTTTTTGAGGCTCTGATGCTGCTCCCCACCTCGGGGTCAAAGGATTTTGGTCCGATGGTGCAGATGATGTCGGCCTCTTTCTCCTGACATTCAGTCAAACTGAAGTTCGATCTGACGTACATTGAACATCTTTGGGGGCCACACAATTCACCACGGCATGCTCTACGTGCAGGAGCCTTGTTGTTCACGTCTGCGATCTTCTCATAGGCTGCCGGGTACTCTAACGCGTTTTGCTGGAAGGTCTCCACTGACTGACGGGCGACCTGCATACTGGCATAAGCATGGCACAAGATCTCGGCAGTGTTCGAGGCAGCACCAAGACGCGCAAAACGACTCCCCCACCTGGACCATGCGAGGCTTGCGAGTGCCGGCTTTGGCACCAGATGCCCCGAGGGCCGCCAGGGCAACGACTGCACCGGCCGTGCCCACTGTGGCCATGGCACCAGGTGCGGCCTGGGTCACAGCCGCAGGTGCAGCCCGGCTGCCACGAAGGGCGGTCGCCCGCTCCGCCGTGCCTGGCCCCACCGCGAACGAGCAATGCAACTGCTCTGTTGCCGGCTGCCGACTGCCGGCTGCAGACGACGAGATGCGACATCTGGAATTCCAGCATACCAACACTGCCACACCCTACGCTTGTCATCGACAAACAAAAGCCAAGCTCCAGACGGCCTGTGGAAGGCGCCACGAACAGAGGAGCTGCCACAGCAGTGGCCAATCCCGCGGCCAGCGCAACTGAGCGGATTGCTTCGCACAACTGCATTACTCTCGCTTTGCCTGAAACATCGATGCATGGTTGCTGCTTCGTTCTGCCAGTACCCTTTCTTTTGCATCGTGCCGCTCTCTTCGTGATCAAATCCACTGCTTCCTAACGCACAAACCACACCTCTTCCTCGTCAAAACTCTTATCACAGTTGGGCTTTCATCGCAATGATTGCTTGCTTCTGGCAATGCAATCGTTGATGGCTGTGCGATTGACATCATCCTTCATCTCCCAACAGCAAGCGCGACACAGCAATTCAAAGTTGGTAAAATGCTGCCAAGTCTCTACGCTTGGTCTGCATAGGGGCAGTAGACATGGCGACAAAAAAGCGGCGACGGCAAAGGACTGGTTTGAGCACTCTGGTTGCTGCCACAATCAACCAAAACGGATCACCCACTATCAAACTCACTCCGTCCGCGACGTGGTTACAACCTGTGCCTGAACATGTACATACATGAACGGATACATGCAATCCCTTAAAAAAACACAGAAAATGTAACAAGACTTGTTAATTAATCGTCGCTCGCACTGTCTTGTTTGCTTGAGAAGTGGTCACACTGGTGTGGTGAGAACCAAGTTCAAGTGAAAAACAAGCGAAGTACATACTCTGGCGATTGCCCGCAGAGATGCGCAACTGCTCCAAGTTAGCAAACTCCAGTAAGTTCGGTGAATGTTGTTAGAACTTGAACAGCAACAAAGTTCACAGCACTTTCGTTGCAATCAGTTGGTTGCAGCTTCTGGTGCCCAGAAGGCTTTCTGTGGCAAAGCTGTGCAGAACCGCTTGTTCATCGGCTTCCAACAATGCAATGCGCGCTTCGAAATTCAGCAGCAAGTGCGCAAACGACAAGACAAATCCATCGGGGCCGTTTGCAACGCTTTCAACAATCTTCCAAAACAAACTTGGCCCCACACACCACGTGCGATTTGTGCGACAAAATCTTCATTCAGTTCTACAACTCTGCAAAACCCAACGACATGTGGAAGCCACATCCAAAGAGAACTCCAGATTTGCTCGAGGAGCCAGCCAGACTGCACGGAACAAAATGTCAGCGCATCAGAACATTCCAGTCCAGTTTCCAGCAAGACGGAAGATGCAGGTTCATCGGATAGAAGTTGGATCGCAAGAAGAACAGCAACTTCGAACAGAGTTGAACCCAGATTGAACCCAGGTTCAAACTTTGGACAAAGGCTGCGGAAGAACGGGAGCGCCAAACTAAAGCCGCTGCAGCCTCCACCAAACGCAAGCGGGAAGCTGAGGACAGCCAGGCCCCAGCGGGGGCGGCGGAGAACAGCTCGGGCCCGGGCCTGGTTGAGGCTGCTGAGGAACAGGAGGGGTCACCTTCCGAAGCTTCCGCTCCCCGAGGGACGCCCACTCAGCACACCGCTTTCCAGAGACAGCGGAGATGCAGTGCAAGGACCACTCCTTCCGCCTGGAGCGGGTTGCCAGAGGTTCCTGGAGGGTGGTGTGTGCTAGACCTTCCCTCCCAGGCCACGTCATCAAGCTCGGGCGTCCCGAGCACCATGGCCCCGAGCCTGCGGTCTGTGGCAAAAGACTACGAATTCTCCCGAGAGTCATCTGCAGATTCTACGTGGAGGACCACCGAACGCCTGCAGGAGGGTCTTGCCTGCAATGGTGATCGAACGGCTTGAAAGCCTGATCCACCCAGTTCCCCTCTCGGGGCTGTTGCAGATGCGGCCACCTTGGCCGCGCTGGCCCTCCTGAAGTTTTCGGAGGGCTACCTCCAACCAAAAGGAGGTCGCTCACAACCAGTGGGGTTTCCGCCAAACAGGCCAGAAAAGGCAACACATTCCCTTTTTTTTGCGTGGATAGGCCTCGTCGACGGCGGCTGCCGCACTCGGTCCTAAGGTAAGCAACAAAAAGCAACCAAGACCAAAGCTACCAAAAGCGGTGAAACATGCTGCGACTTACAGACTTAGTCGGAAAATGTCGTTCAGCAGTTAATTACCAGCCTCATATGAACAGCAGCCCCGCTCAGATGCCCCGCTTCCCAAATTTCAGGGTCGCGCAATGGCCAATCCATCGCCCCGCTTCCCGTAATGCATGGGTCGCGCAATGGCACATACTGGCAGTTGCAATCCATTGTAAGACACCAAGGCAGGGCCAGCGTCCAAGTGTCAGATGGCCACAAGCCCGCAGGCTACTTGAGGTCCCATATGAAATCAGATTGGACGGATGCCGATAAGTTGCAATGGCTGACCATCCTGCGCTCCTCCCACGAGAGGTGGCTGAAAATGAGACTGATAAGNNNGAAATGAACATCTCCACCAGGTTGTGGAAGACTGGCCCCACCTGACATGCCAAAGGTCGCCTAACGACTGAAGTTGCCATCCACGCCTCAACACGGGCACAATGTTCGTGCGGCGTGTGAAGAGGCGGCGAGAGCGCTGGCGTCGGGGGAGACAGCCGTCTCTTTTTGTTGCCCCAGCGCTGCAGCATGGCAGAGAAGGAATCCAGCAAGCTAGCAGTCTGAGCCAGTCGTCAAAAAGGCAACGAGCTCTCAGGCAGCAACCCAAAAATGCCATCCACTTACCATGATGCAGCAGGATGGATGCCCAGCACACAAGAAATGGCAAGAGTGGAATAAAATGCTCCAGCTAGCAACAAGTCGTGACTGACAAGCCGTAACTCATTGAGAGATCGACTGCGCCTGTAGCATCCATAGAATGTGCTTTGCCCACTGGCAGGCCTACCCCAATCAGGGTGCAGCCAACACCAGACATATAATGCCTGCCACTTGCGGGGTGTTACGCTCTTCGTCCCTTGCTCGGCTGGTTCTTGCTTTGCGTGGCCGCATGCCAAGTACACACGTAGCAACTCCCTAGCAAAACCGCGACCGCAAGGCCGAATGGCCCGGGTGTAGTTACACGGGCCACGACGTTAACTTCAGCATCAGCGAACAAGGCAGGTTCGGCTTAAGTGTAAGAGGCGGGCTACGTACATCAAAAGCCTGCCAGCCGTATTCTGTCTCAGGCGCTTGCTGCGTACTGACCCACAGGCACGGCCATCCTACACAACGGCGCAGTTCAAGTGTGCGTGCACCCGAACAAGGGCTACACGCAAACTGTGGCAGAGAGCCTCTACCCCATTCGCGAATAGACCTGCCCAGGCAGATGAGCGACCGCAAGGCCGAATGGCCCGGGTATAATCCCTGAACTTTCCACAGTAAAGAACCTGAGATGCCGGCAGCCGACAAGCGACCACCGCGTAGACCGCGGCGAGTCGCCAGGCGGCTCATTACCAAGGCCTGGAGCGTGCGCTGCCCGACCCGCGCGCCTGCCGAGAAACGGCCACGGCATGGCAGGCCCAATACTGTCGAGCAAACTCATTGAGACGGCGACGCCAGGCAGGAGCGTCGTCCATGTGTTTGTCGTTCAAACAATACAAGAAGGGCCAAGTCCGGCGTTCGAGAGATGCCCCGTCAGTTGCGGTTTGGTAAAAAACAGCGGCTGTTGAGGTTATGGTACTTGGGTACCAGCTTATATCCCAGAAAGGGATACCGAAGGCCTTCAGCAAGGCCACCCCGCTCCCGGAACTCCCTCGCTGCCTCCGCCCAGTCCTCAAAGGAGAGGTTTTCCCCGAGGACACAAGGATCGAAGATCCGCGTCCTATTCGGCTCAAGGCTCGCAAAGTCTCGCCGTACAATTTCTGCATGTTGTCCCGTCGTTTGAACCAAAAGGCAGCGGCTCTAGGGTGG